CGAGCTGCCGCCATTACACAGCCCAATCCCTCACGTAAAGCGCTTCGCGGCGGTGGCTGTGCTCGCATTGTAACATCCCTCATATGTGATATGTCCCATTCCGCAATATTTTTAAAAACCCTTAAATGTACAGATTTCGCAAAGCTCTGTCCTATTCGTTTATTTTTATGTGATTGTATGCATAAATATGATGAAATTTGTCTTCACTTTGTATGCGTGAAGTATCTGTTACTTCCGTACTGGCGGTCATAATATATCCATTTGCGCTCTTTGTAGAAAGCAGGGAGGAGGAGGTGGGTCAGTTTCCCCTCCTATTATTTATTTTATACTACGTTAATTAATTTTTGCGCTCCAGAAATTATTTAAATAACTTCTCAAGATTGATGGAATATTTGCTGTATTGATACGACCTTTTGAGGGATGGTGTTTTGTATAGAAATTCAACTTTCGGTAAATATTGCCATTTTTTACAATTTTAAATTAAGCCATGTCAAACCCAGAAATTATGGACATTTTTGAAACAAGGTACCCTATCTTATTGTAAATTTTATGTACTTTCACGTGGTTATAAAGGTTTTTTGATCAAACACTTTTAAAATGCTTAAAAATTAGGAAAATGGAGCTAAAAACGGACTTTCTTCAGAAAAGTGTCATTTTGGATCCCAGAAGAAATTATCCTACAGGCAAATATAATTACTTAAAAGGATGCTGAACATAAAAATTTAACGTACTTTTCAGTTACATCATTCACTTTAACTTTGAAGCTCATTTTAAAGCAATAAAATCTCAAAAATAACAAAAAAGTTATATTTCATCATTTTTTTCTTAACTTTTTTAAACCAAAATTCAGTGCTAAGACTCCTCAAAAAGGTTTTAGGGCAAGTTTTAATAGCCCTAGGTTATGGGAAATTTCATGAACTTTTCATTTCGCACCTTGTTTTTTTTCTTAAACGCCCTTTAACACGTAAAAAATAAGAAAAACCGCGGGAAAATTTTTTCGGACAAATTGCAATTTTTTTCAACATTGCCTCCGCATTTTCACGAGAAACGCCAAAAATACAAATAAAGGTATATTTCTTACACAAAATTTTACTAGCTATTCGATGATTACCGTGGTTTGATTGAAAAAATTGTTTGCAGCCATGAAAAACCACAAAAACATGAAGCAAAGCCTTGTTATTGAACAATTTGTACATTTTTAACGGCTCAAAAATTGGCTTCTAAGTACACTTAAATACCTTCAAAAATTTATTCATTAACATTTTTTTAACTTTTATGTGCTATTACATTGGTACCATAAAATTTACTTCAATGAAAATGACTAAACTTGAAAATTTTGGGTATATGTTAAGAAAAAGGTTCTAAACAGAGCAGCCGGGTTTTCCAATAGACAATTTTAACGCCTAATCAAACTCTCTTTATAACATTCGAAACAGTAATTTCAGGTATGCAATTTTTTGGAAATTTTAGGCTCTAAACAATTATTACCATCGTTGAATCGTATCGTTAGTTTCCAGCTGTCAAAAAGCCGAAAATCGTTGAAATTCTGCAATTTATAGAGAAATCATTTTTTAGCGTAATTCCCTTAAATACGCTTTTCAGGTACATGTTGTAAAATTTAAAGGAAAACCAGTGTGTTATTTGTCTTGCAAATTTTATAATCTTTCAAAAAAGTATATATAAGTTGTACTTTTGTTGAAAAATAATTGATCGAAAGCGCTGGAAACGGAAAAAAACAGCTGAATTTGTTGTTAAATATTGACTTCATTCTTTTGAATGATTTGTCTCACAATGAGGTCATAAAAGATAAAAAGGTAAAATGAATGGGTATACTTATGTAAAATTTAGCGTACTTTTCAATAGTGTTGTTATTTTTAACCTTCAATTAATTATTTTGACCTAAAAATGGTCAAGAATGCGAAAAATCGTGAATTATCAGCAGATTTTGCCGGTTGTTGTTTTTAAATAGTAAAATTCGGAAAGAAAAAGAATAATAAAAGCCTAAGTTTTGCATATGATTCTTAATCAAAATTTTATGATCTTTAAATCTGATCACTTGCAATTTTTTGTTTAACGCGTTTTTTTTTAGTTATATATGAAAATCCGTATGCACGTCCTCTTTGAAAATCGCCGCAAGCCGCCATTTTGAAAAAATGCGATTTGACCACTTTCCCGGTGAAATTTTTTGGTGAACTTTTTTTTTTGTCTTATTGGGTACCTAGAGACCCTATATACCAAAGGAAAAGTTTGTGCTAATTTGTCCAAGGTAAAAAGCTAGAATGACTGGACTAGAAGATAATCTTGGAGCGATAATAATTGCCAATAAACGTCACATGTCAAAGAATTCCGAACACATGGAGATTCATAATCATTTTGTCCATGAAAATGTATGTAACAAAGTTGTAAATGTCATCAAAATTGATTAAGAAAAGATTGTCGCTGATATATTTACAAAATCCCTAGAATCTCACAAGTTCATGAAATTCCGAAAAGGTCTGAATCTTCACCGATAAATCGTGTATGAACACTGAAGTAGATTTTTAATTTGCACACTCGTTCAATAAATAAGTGATAAGTCTACAAATTTTAATGTATTCTCAAATTACCTTTCTGAATCACAATGATATTCGATTTTTCAAGTTTATTTTCAATAAATATTTTAGTTTTTGTAATGGCAAGGAAAGAAAAAAAAAAACTTAAAAAATCAAGGAGGAGACTAATTAATAACTCAAGTACCAATTTTATAATCAAATATGTTGTAGAATTAGATTCGGAAGAGAGCCACTTCTGAACCATATTCTATAATATTACAGTTACTTTTCGGAGTGCATGTTCGCCATAGCTCGGGAAATGTACATTGTACAGTCCTTATCAAGCAATCTGTTTGCATTTGGCCTTAAAAAATTGTTGGTAACAAATTTTAATATTGTGATCTAAGTATCACCTTCATTCAAAGATTTGAATCCATGTTAATTTTTTTTCCATAATAAATTTAAGGTGGTGTGTTGGATTGTCAATTCATTTTGAGCGCACTTAAGCAATCACCGTTTAATCAGTGATGGATTTCGTTGCTCCTATGTTCAACATCTTTCTCTGTAATTCTGTATAAGTAACAAATGACTGGTACTAAACTGGACTGACTTGGATACTATCAAATCTAATAAAAGGAATAAGTTTTAGAATCATTAATTCATCTTCACGTGCTTCAAGTATACCGAAACGTAAATTAACAGCGTTGAGGGATATCTGTAGAAAACTGATCAAGGATTTCCCCAATTTTGCAAACTTCACGATGGCGGTGTCCTGAGTATCAGACCATTTCCTTGTGGGTAATATGGGCAGTTCCGAATGTGTTCAGCACCTAATATCGAAAAAAAATTGGTTTGGTTCATAGGAAAGAACCTTTTTTGAGCTGTAAATGGAACACATGTATTTGTACAACAAATGTTTATTCAATCGAGGGTCGTCCAAAACGTAATTTTATCTATTCAATATCTCCTGCCCTAAGATAGATAGAAAAATTATGAAAGAAGCGATGGAAAGCCACTACTCTCAGCTAACGCGCTGTAGATTTTTAAATTTGAAACAATAGAACTCTAGAAAAGTGAAATTTTCTGAGCCCACCTCAACCCCGCATGGGTAAAAATTTCGAGGAGCGTCATCTGCAAGTGAGCCATTGTGTATACCGCATATGGCAAAAAAGTGACTTAGAGGCGGTTGAAAAACGTGTAAAACATAAATAAGGACATTTGTAAACTAGAAAATTGGAAGATTGATCGTGTTCAATTCGATTATTGGTGGGTTTGGACTGCAGTGCAGGGAAATGTTAAGCTATATTTGGTAAAATCGTAGAGTTGTAACGCTGAATCTAGTTTTGGTGTGTGAATTGAGCTACATTATACGTTCTCTTGCCAAGAAAGGTGACCCTGGCTTCTCAACTCCGAGTTCTTATACAGTAAAAAAGCTTTAGAAGCTGCTTATTTTTCGAAAAGATGCCTCTTGGACGAAATTTCTTTAAGAACAGACGGGACGATTCGAAAGCTCATGAACGATTCAGTTAGCAAGTGAGAGTTAACGTTGACAGTTCAGTAAAGTTTTGCTCGGATGCTATTGCTACTGAAGTAAACACTGTTAATCCTGCTATTTCCTGCTTGAGAAACGTCCTTACTTTACATGTTTTTCAACCGCCTCTAAGCCACTGTTTTGCGGATGACCCTCCTCGAAATTTTGGATCCGTGCGGGGAGAAGGTGGGTTCAGAAAATTCCACTTTCCTAGAGTTTTATTAAACCAAATGTAAAAATCTATAGCACGTTAGAAAGATGAGAGTAGTGGCTTTTTAAATATTTTCTGTATCTATCTTAGGGCAGGAGATATTGAATAGGTAAACTTACTTTCTGAAGGACCCTTGTAGATACATCCATTTCATTCATTCTTTTTAAGTCGTTAAGGGAATGGACCACCACACAAAGTACAGACGTAAGCATTCTGATGCATGTTACCCTATCAAAATTTCACACACAACACGATTTATGCGACGAAAATGCTTGAAATTATCTCTAAGTTAGTAGATTACTAAACGCTTTTAAATGCTCAAATTCGAACCACCCACTCACGAAAAAACAAAAATTTACTCAAGTCAAATCGCGTACTAAATAATACCTTATTAGTCTCTGTGGTATGAAAGTATGACAACCTCAATCTCAGATCTACGGCTCACATGTTGCTCATTTTTAATACTTTGCACATTACAGGGCACGGAGGAAACACTGATCAATTATGAAACCTGCAAAGACCGTTGTAAAGCGCAATTTAATTAAAGTAGACTAATGTTTGCCTTAATTATGAGCAGGATATTCAAAACTGCCGTGAGCCTTAGGTATAGCAGTTGATATCAGTAATTTTTGGTGTGCTAATAAGGTTCTACATACAATATTGATAAAGTAGCATGTATCACAATGCTATAATTTGCACCTTGTCTAGTGGTTCATCAAGAAAATACCTGTTCCTTTCCGGGTAACTACGTCCCACTTCTCAGGAGTTGTGACAAGCATTTGAGTTTTGCTAATTTCTGCTTTAGTCAGCTGCATATCTCCAGTTAATTCTTGAACGGTGATATTCAGACCTTTTAACTTCTTACTAAAATTAGCTGTCATTTCGGCCGCAAGAGCTTTCATCGGCGCAACATATACGATCTGATATGGAGAGAGAAAAAAAGTGTCATTAGGAGTGAGAAACTATACAAGGTCTGTCCAGAAAGTATCCGACCTTGTTGATTCTCTCACCATCAACGGTTAATCATAGGTTGGGGCTTGGGATTATCTTTGCAGGGACTCTCCTGAGTGTAGGTGCACAGCCGGATTATCACCTTGTTGAACCAGTCGTTGGTAATTTGTTGATTAGTGCGTGCTATTCTGCTGTGTTCGTTGCATTTCGTTTTTCCTAAAAAAAAGAAGTTAAGGAGAGTGGGGTGGGAAGGGTTTGTGAGGGAGATCATCACAGGGGACGTGTTTTGGGTCTACAGGCACGACCTTGAGATAAAAGTGCAATCGTCAGTTTGGATCGCACCTGGAAGACCTCGCCTGTGGAAAGCTTGGAAGAGTCGCAGCACTGTGAGAACAGTGTTGACTGTCTTCTTCGATCATGAAGGTATCGTCCATCTTTAATACGCTCCTCAGTGCTCTACTATCAATAAAGAGAGCTACCGAGAAACTTTACGTAGCTTAAGGGGCCTTGGGGAGCGTATTAAAGATGGACGACACCTTCATGATGGAAAAAGACATTCAACATTGTCTTCACACTGCTGCAACTTATCCGAGCTTTCTACTAGCGAGGTCTCCCAGGCGCGATCCAAACTGACGGTTGCATTTTTGTCTTGGGGTCGTGCCCGTAGACCCAAGACGCGTCTCCTGTGATGATCTTCTCCACAAACTCTTCCCACCCCACTCTCCTTAACTTCCTCTTTTTTAGGAAAAACGAAATGCGACGAACACAGCAGAATAGCACGCACTAATCAGCAAATTACTAACAACTGAATCAACGTGTGACAATTTGGCTGTGCACCTACAGTCATAATCCAGTCAATCTGGCCCAAAAGAGGGATCTACTTCGCGAAAATCTGAGGAGAAAAAATTAAGACGGTTTCCTGTGTAATTTTGGTCGCTGAATCCGAATCTGATGTTTGCCAACAAAAATTTTGCCCGGAAATGGCCGCCATCTTGAAAAAATGGCGGAAAATTACATTTACGTTTTTTATTTTTTTTTTACGGAAAATCTCACTTATCTTGGGGTTTTTGACAAACTGAGTTATCTTCATTTTAAAAGCACGTAAAATTTTCTATCAAACTGTCTTTAGAATACAGTATATCGATACAACCATTCAGTTCTGGGGCTGCAATCTGTTTCAAATAAAACACTTTTCTCTTTATGAATTATTTAAGGGTCTGATTAATTTATTTGGAATTTAAAGTGAATTGCTCCATTAGTTTGAAGGGTTGATGATTTTAAAGCTTGATTTCCAATTTTGAATCTTGAAATCTTCGTAAATTTCATTTTGATAACAAAATCGAATGTTTCACTGATTAGGAACAAGGAGTGGACTTGGCTCATTTCTTCCTGGTAGACAATACTGTTTTTCATTAGTGCGTTAGTTATGGCCTGGTTTTGGTTCAATGAGCATGCTCAGTAATTTGTAATTCTTGCATTTTTGAAAACGAAAGAGTGCACATAGTTCACAGGAATTTTTCCCGATTTTTTTTTGGCAATATTAACCCACAATATTCGAGTTAAAGTTCCCTAATTTGAGCTCCCATTTAAATGCGCGTCACTCAGGTTACCCAGGTGCCTCAAAACCTACAATTAAAAGTTAAATCTTTAAATTAAAAATCAAAATCATCCCCCCAAATAAATGGGAAAAATTCCCCACACTTAGGAAAAAACAAAAAACTTTCACTAAAACCCAAGCCCTTGGAAAAATCCTATGCTCAAGCAATGATCTGCAATAAAATAATGACACATAGTGCGGTGGCTGATTACCAAAAAAGGGCAATAAGTGGCAAATCAAGATACAGTTTAGCGGCTTCCAGGGATCAAACAAGATGACATTTGAAGAGTTTTGAGTCGAAGATGGCGGCCATTCAAAATGGTGTCCAGGTGCTACTTTGAGCCGCTATGGATCGAGATCCACTGAACCGATTTGATTTCTCTTTTTTTTTGTTTAAAAGATAATTTAAAGGTAAGTATAACAAAATTACAAAAGGACCCTACAACAAAACGGCCAAATCGGCCTAAACACAGAATCCTACAATTTTCTCAGGGATGAAAGAGGGTCTTCCCAGACACTCAAAACTGGTCTTATTTTTTGCCTAGCTCCCAGGGAAAAGGGGGGAGAAGGGGTCAAAGTTAAAACCTTTAAAGTAGCATAACTTCTCAACGGTACGTCGTAGAAAGATGATCTTGGTGTCAAAATTTCCAGGAAAATGAGAGCTATCAGAATATATGTATGAAATTAATACGATTTCAAAATTTAATCTACTTAAGGGGGAATTATACAACGTCCCCTTTTCGTAAACTTTCGTTTTTCGAGATTTTCGGTCAATCGGGTCGCACGGAGGATAACAAAAACAATCCTAAATGAAAGTAGAGCGTTTAAGGTTTAAAACAAGCCCAAGCTCATCTTGGAGAAACGATCAGAAGCGGAGTTATGTGTCTTCAAAGTTGACGCGGCGCGCGGGAACCTTGTATGTTCCAAGTCTTAAGGTCACCTGCGCCCCCCGAATTGCTCGCAAGTGGCGACTTTTTGTATTTTTTTCCTTCTGTAGGTTGTTTTCCAAGTGGATCATTCAATGAAGATGAGATATTCGGAATTCGTGAGTTTTATGGGAGGAGCGAGAGGTTGCTAAGGGTATTGACCATCATGTCCATCATATCTCATTAAAACTTAGCTGCAATGAAGATTCTGCTCTCAAAATTTAGAAAAAACCAAGGATCCTCAGTTCGAATTACGTAATTTATGCGGGTTTTCCAAGTTGACTAAATGTAGTTTACAGAAACAATCATGATTTAGCCCATAGGCCACTGGGTAGGTGTTAAACGGTTGCCTAAACATAGGTCTGCAGGCGTATTTTAGCGAAAATTCATGATTTTCTATCACTCCGAGGCATTTTTGACACCGAGCGCATCGTCTAACTAAAACGAGCTTTTGATATGTTATTAAGGAGGCTTTAGGACACATTTTAATCATGGTTTGGTTTTAGTTAGATGATGCGCTTATAGTTAAAAAAAACTTTTTCAAAAATCGACGTTTAAGAGACATCCACAAAAATATTAGAGAATTACGTCGTTAGATTTTTTTGGCCACAATTAAAGTAAATCTCCTTGTAAAGGTTTAACAAGGCTTGATAACTGCCCTTGATGATATACGTAGCGTGCATCCAGTTGGAGGGACGTGTTTGCTATAATTTTTGCGGATGTCCCTTCAACGACGATTTTTGAAAAAGTTTTTTCTTACTATGAGCGCATCATTTAACTGAAACCAAACCAGGGTTAAAATGTGTCCTAAAGCCTCCTTAATGACATATCAAAAGCTCGATTTAGTTAGACGATGCGCTTTGTGTCAAAAAAGCCTCGGAGTGATAGAAAACCACCAATTTTCGCTAAAATACGCCTGCAGACCTATGTTTAGGCAACCGTTTAACATGTATCCAGTGGCCTATGGGCTAAATCATGATTGTTTCTGTAAACTACATTTAGTCAACTTGGAAAACCCGCATAAATTTCCAGATTCTAGGAGGGGGCCAAAAAAGGCCCTTATCGATGCCCCTCCTTTGAGCTGCACTCCAAATTGCTATCTCCACAATAACTGGGGCTTGTTTTGAAGCACAAGCCGTCTGCTTCTACGAGAAATTATTTCGCTTTAAAAAGTATGATCCGCAAAGCGCTGTAGCTTAGCTCAATTATTATGAAACTTTAAAATCAAGGGTACTCCAAAATTTGTCATCTATGGATTAAAACTTCAAAATGGTTCAGTTCTGCACATATCATACGTAATTCGAACTGAAGATCCTTGGTTTTTTCTAAATTTTGAGAGCAGAATCTTCATTGCAGCTAAGTTTTAATGAGATATGATGGACATGATGGTCAATACCCTTATAGCCCCCTCTCGCTCCTCCCATACAACTCACGAATTCCGAATATTTCATCTTCATTGAATAATCCACTTGGAAAACAACCTAAAGACGCAAAAAAATAAAAAAAGTCGCCACTTGCGAGCAATCCGGGGGGCGCAGGTGACCTAGAGACTTGGAACATACAAGGTTCCCGCACGCCGCGTCAACTTTGAAGACGCATAACTCCGCTTCTAATGGATTCTATAAGATGAACTTGGGCTTGTTTTAAACCTTAAACGCTCTACTTTCATTTGGGATTGTTTTTGTTTTTCTCCGTGCGACCCGATTAACCGAAAATCTCGAAAAACGAAAATTTACGAAAATGGGACTTTGCATAATTCCCCAAAAAGTAGGTCAAATATCCATTCTTACGCTTGATGTAATATTCAACAAATAACGCAGCCTTGGGCTCTACGTTCAATATTTATGGAGATATTGCTCGTGAAAAAGCATGTTTCCCAATGTCATACCCCGTGGTATCTCTCTCATAAAATAATTTCTTTCACCCTGGTCTCATTAATTAGTGATTCATACTTGTCCACTGGTTGCTCAATATAAAACTTACACAAATATAAGGTAAAAGAAACCATGATATGCACTACCGTGGTAGAATTTAAATTTCGGGGTAGATTAGAACCGGGCAACACAGAATGCCAGTCCTAAGGATAAACGGCTTACATTTCACCCTAGAAATAGTTGTATACGGCTTAATGGTGGAGAACAGGGGCGCAATGACGGTGGTTCTTAGGGCCCAAAAATGACCGTTACTTTGAGAGACTTTAATGACCGAGACTTTTTTGTGGAAGGAAGGTAAAATTTTTCGTCAATTAGACTGTAACTCGGCCCTCTCCAAGAAAATAAACTCTTTAAACAACGGTTAAAAAAGATTTTGACCTTATATCATTTTACGCCTTTTAATGTCTTAGGTGACAAGTAAAATGTATTTTTAATGGGCAACCCTGGGGAACCCTACGCAACCCCTGCCCTTATGCATCTTATGCTGAAAATTGAGTTTTCATAACGAACTC